GCCCTGGATTCCTTGTGTTTCCAGTTCCTATCTGTACCAGTGTACATCCTCTGGTCTAGCCAGATTTGTAAGGTAGAATTGTGATCATGATAGTGGGGGGCGGGGGTCATCAACTTCTTAAATTGAAGTATTTTTTTACTTCTTATATTTTCAGGCTTTAATTAGTCTGTAGATATAACATTAGTCTTTAAGGTTATTTGTTTGTTTGTTTTTTTAAATCTGCCTTTGAAAGAATTGTTCCAATTTTAAATAAGTATTTGATCTTCCTCATTTTTTAATTATTTTGATTAACGATGCAATGTTGCATTTCTTGGTGGCTTGAACAATGCATGCATTTTTTTATCATCAGTTTCAGATCATTAAAATCTGAAGTAATGAAGTTAATTATGAATTTTTATATCATTCCTTGTGCAATTTTTTAAACATTTGTTCTATTCATAATAGGTGATGAGTTTAAAAGAAGTTGATTAAGCATGCTTTTTCCATTTAAAAATGCTTTTCTTCTGAGATCACTGTCGTGGGTTTTTAAACTGGCCAAAATCTAGAATATGACTATTATAAATAAGACATCCTTATTGGATTTTAAAAACCCTTCATTTTGCTTGCTGATCCCCTTCTTACTCACAAGAACTGCTATATACATTCTTTCATTCATTTACCAAGTCTTTATTGCATGCCTGCCATGTGTCAGGCACTGCTCTAGATTCTAGAGATAGAGAGTAAATAAGACCGTTTTTCTCTTTTGTATTTTGCTATCTATCTATCTATCTATCTATCTATCTATCTATCTATCTATCTATATTCTCTGTATTTGGTAATATATATCACTACTAAATGTCCCAAGCATAAGTTGGTAAGAAATTAAGCTAAGGAAGTTCTCACAATCATCAAGTTGATTCTGACTCATAAAGACCCTATATAAGGCTTCTGAGACTATAAATCTTTGCAGGAGCAAATGGTCACATCCTTCTCTCAGCGAGTGACTGGTGAGCTTGAACAGCTGACTTCATGGTTGCTAGTCTTAACATTTAGCCAGCTGCAGCACCAGGACTTCTTAGGAGGTTAGCAGTTAAGTTCAGGAAGGAGTCAAGAAGACTCTGAGTTTCTGTCGGGGACAGT